AATGCTAAATGAGAAAGGACTGGAAGTGTGGACAGTAAAAAAATAATTAAAAAATCTATGTGAACATTCATGGAACTTTTTCCCACTCAGTTCTACAGTCATCTGAGCTAGGTCCAGAAAGATCTAGTGAGGAATCTGTTCACAGTATGGAGAAAGGGTGAACTCTAGGTACGAAGACAGAGAATAAAGAAAAAGGGTGTTTTTTTCATTCAGCACTTTCATTAACATGTGAAATATAACAACTGGCAACACTGAAATGGGGTACACTTTGTTCATACATTTAAGTGTGGTTGAATGAGGATCTAACTATACATATATCATTACCTTGCAAAGAAGCAGATATTCTTGCAGGGGATGGATCTGATGGACCAGTTATGCCCTATATTCAAATTGTACTTTGTTCCCTTCTATAATATTAGTAGAAAGGAATAAAAACCTTTTATTTTATACCTGCTTCTCTGTTTTTCTAAAGTAGGAACACTGAGCCAACCAACACACTCCAGTGCACTAAATTAATTTAAAAGTCAGCATTTTCATTTTAAGTAGGTTCTACAACTATGTTCCATCCATAAAGGTGAAAACTGGAATGTTAATTGCTTCAGTGTCTGAAAGTTAAGGAGGGAAAAGGATTGTTCCACTATTAGAATCCCATTATTTAGCCACTGCTAAGCACTACAATTGAATTTTTGGAGCTAAGGGATATCTTTGGTTCCAATTTTTCTGAGCACAATAACCCTAGAAGTTATACCTACCACAGAGTGTCTCAGACTATGTCTATCTAAGAACGTTGCCTGTATTATTTCACTACATGACCTGAAGGCCTAATGGACATCACAGACCCTGGCAAGGATCAAGTTTTAAATTGCTTTTCCTGGGCTTCTGTACAAAAATCTGAGACTGCTTCAACAGCCACCTAGTAAATGATTTCTTTCAGAGAGAACTAATCCAAATGTTGAGAGAGAAAATATTTAAACTTATTTTTTTTAAATATAGGCAATTTTCTTTGTAACCATGTGGGCTGATGTGACATTCTGCTTTAACAATCTGTTTATTGGTTAATTAAAATTCGTTTTTTCCCTCCACCCAATAATCTTATTTTGAAGCCATATTGAGTGCCCTGGAGAAGTGGTTCCCAATCTTTTTGATACTGGGGACCAGTAAACCCATTCACAAGCTTTTGGAGGACCAGTAACATGTATTTGCATATTCATTAAGCAAATGATGAATATGCGAATAAATTGTGTTGCTGGCCCACCTGTCCGGTGGGTTGTTCCGTCCCCCCCTCCTGGCCCCAATCCCAGATGCTTTATCAGCCGGCATCGGCTCCCCCGGCTGCATCCAGCGCCAAGTGTTCTGCATCGATGCGCCTCTCGCCTTGTTCGCCCCCACCCCCAGGCCCCAATCCCAGCCGCTTTATCGGCCGGTGCTGGGCATTCTGCATCGGTGCGCACAGCCTTCTCCCTGGGTCCTAGCGCCCGCCGGATCTAACCCCACCGCCCAGGAGCATGCCCAGCAGAGATGCTGCAGCGGAAGGCTCTCTTCCTAGAGGCCCGCACCACCGCGCTCGGCAGTGTAGAGTGCTGCTACCATGTCACACAAATTAATAGGATCATGTGCGATAATTTTTCTAAGGACCTTTTTTTTTTTCTTTTTTTTTTTTAAGAACCGGTACTGGGCCGCAGACCACACTTTGGGAAACGCTGCCCTGGAGAATTCCTTTTTGAGGCAAAGATAATATTCATTAATAATCTTTATTATTATTTAGTTACTTTAATTTTCAAATTATTTTCCAAAATTTTTTGGAGGTAGGTGAGTACTTTGTACTGAACATGCCAAATGATTAGCTAGTAGAACTTCGCGGCACAAATTGCTGTTGAAACCAAGAGCCTACCAAGACACTGAAAGCGCACCGATATGGATAACAGAAATATCCAGTTATTAGGATTTTTGAAAAACAAGAATTTTGGAAGGAATAAACACAACTATATTTTGAAGCATAAAACAATCTGTAATTATTGGGAATTTGGAAGTAATTTTCCCTATAGGGCAAGTTATTTCATAGTTGTTACCATATATATTTTTCTAAAGCAGCTGGCACCAGCCAATGCTAAGAATCAGAATTCTAGAGAGGATGGATAGGAAAATGGGAATGGGTGATGGGGATGGATTATTCCCTCTTGAGCACCTGACATTGATCATTGTTGCAAGACAGGATACTGAGATAGATGGACCATGGGCCTGACCCAGTATGGTCGTTCTTATGGGTCTAACCTACCCTGGCAATGGCTATATTCCTAAGTTTTACATTATCTAGGTCAGACAGAAACACGTACACAGCAAAATGATCAACAAGTGACTTGCTTTAAACCACACAAGTCCTATCAGAACCAGGGTTAGAACTCCTGTGTTCTAGACTCTGTATACCATGTGTTAGTTACCAGGGTAACTGCACTTCTGATCCTGGCTTGGGGGGGAGAGGGGGGTTGTCTGTAGGCAAGAACTGGTCTGTCTCCTAAATGGCCCCTCACTCTCACAGACCCTGGGAGACAAGCCAATCCTTGCCTACAGACATCCCCCCAACCTTAAGTAAATACTTACCAGAAGCCACACATCACACCACAGATACACTCACCCAGGAACTTACCCCTACAACAAACCCTGTTGCCAACTATGTCCACATATCTATACTAGCAACACTATCACAGGACCTAATCACATAAGCCACAACATTAGGGGTTCATACAACAGCACATCCTCTAATGAGATAAATGCCATCAAGTAACAGAAATACCTCTCTGCCATGTATATTGGCCATAACTGACAGTCTCTGCGACAAAGGATAAATGGACACAAATCAGACATCAGAAACGGTAACACACAGAAATCTGTAGGGGAATATTTTAACCTCCCTGGACATTCATTAATAGATTTAAAAGTAGCCATTCTTCCACAAAGGAATTTTATCACTCTGTTACAAAGGAAGACTGCTGAACTGGAATTCATTTACAAGTTCAACACTATTAGCCTGGGCTTGTATAAATATATTAACTGTAAAGGTAATTTCTCTCACCTTTAATATTCACATTTACCTATCAAAAGCTATGAATGGGGCACATCCAGCCTGACTCAATTAGCATCATTATCACTGGGTCCTACAATTGACAGGTGACTGCTTTTGTTGTTATATATTCTCTGGATTCTGTAACTTCCACTCCAATTCATTTGATGGAAGTGGATTTTACTCAAGAAAGCTCATGATACAATATATGTTAGTCTCTAAGGCTATGTCTAGACTGCAAGCCTCTTTCGAAAGAGTGCGTCTAGACTGCACGCGGAACTTTCGAAAAAGCAAGCCGCTTTTTCGAAAGAAAGCACCCAGTGAGTCTGGATGCTCTCTTTCTAAAAAGCCTGTTTGCTTTCAAGAACGCCTTCTTTCGAAAGAGCACTTTCGAAAGAAGGCGTTCTTCCTCGTGGAATTAGGTTTACCACCGTCGAAAGAAAAGCCGCATTCTTTCGATTTAATTTCGAAAGAACGCAGCTGCAATCTAGACGCAGGTGAAGTTTTTTAGAAAAAAGGCTACTTTTTTGGAAAAAACCCCTGAGTCTGGACACAGCCCAAGGTGCCATAGGACTACTCTTTGTCTTTTACTATTGGCTTTAATTTTGTTTGCAAAGTCCAGCTTTGCTTGGCTTTTAGCAATTATCACTTGTTCTCTGTTTTCTGACTTCCTTTCCTTGCTGCTTTCCTAGCTGCTTCATTTCTTCTTCCATTCCTTCTAAGCTATATGCTTTTTCTTAATTCCTGTTTGAAATGCTTGCTCACCCAGTTTAGTCTGCAACCCTTTCCTACAATTTTCTTCCCTTACTTGGGATTTAGATACAAGTAGTTTTTGCAACTTTGACAAAGTAATTCCAGGCTTCCCCCACATTCAGCTCCTTCAGATTTTCAACCGAAGAAAATGCATCTTGCTAGTTAAACTCAATCCTATTTGCAAGCCAAACCCCACGGACCTGTCCACCTTAGAATCCCAATTTTACTAGTTTTCAAATGCTGAACAATGATCACTTGTGGAAATGCTCAGCGGTCTCCCAGGATGCTTTTTCTTATAACTGGATGCAGACATTACCACCTTTTACAGCATACACAGGTTTCCAAGCTACCTGAACATAAGCCTTTCCCATTGCATTTAACAGAATTGGATGAATATGTGTTATTATTTTTTAACAATCTTGCTTCTTGTAAAAATAAATTCTCACTAGTCCTATCAGTTTCACATGTTTTTTCTCCTAGTAAGAGGTCTGTCAAAAATCAATGGCATACCAATTTATATTTCAACAAGCAAGATTCTTCCCTGCTTTCAGACCCTCCCAACTTGCTGAACTGCAATAATCTCTGCATGGACTTCTGTGTAGTCAGTCAGAAGAATGAATTTTCAAATATCACGGTAATTTTCTGTCTAACACTTTCAAACACCAGGCAAAAATACTCCTGGATACGCCCGACACATAAGCTGTGAAACAGGTCCTTCCAAGCCTTCCATCCATTCTGTGTAACACAAATGTTCAAATGAGGCATTCTGTATTTAGTACTTCAGACACAATCAATCCAACAACCAAGGCCAACTAAAAAATGGTTTTTATACTCAAGCAAGCTTATCTGTTTGCAAGATTCTCAGGCACACCTCTGACTTTCAGAGCAAAGAGTTATGCTCAATAACTATTTGCACAAGTAGTAAATTCCAATTTCTTTTTCCTTGCTTGCACGATGGTACAGAACTCTGATGGTGTTTGGTACTAGGGCACTTTGCCAGTTCAGAACAGTTCTCAAAAACCAACATGCAGTTCTTTTTTTTTAATGAAAAAATTCAAAGCTTTGTCATAGATATGTATTCATATCAATAGGAGAGTGAACCCCTCCAAAGTCCAAATCCTGAACTTACACAACGAAACAGTTCTTACCTTAGTTGTCTGGAAATACACAACTTATGTTTAGTACTTACTTCAATTTTGTCTGTCTTTGCATCTCCCCAGTAGAGTTTGTTTTCTTCAAGATCCAATGCCAAGCCATTAGGCCAACCTAGAGAAGTGTTCACCAGGACCCTCCTTTCAGAGCCATCCAAATAAGCACATTCGATCTTTGGATTTTCACCCCAGTCTGTCCAATACATGTAGCTGTAGAAAAAAAGCTTTAAATACATATTGTATATAACTGAAGTCTTCCTCCAATATTAAGATTGGGGATTTGTTCAGCTGGTAAAAAAACTCTCCCGTATTCATCTCAGAAGTAGCAATCAGACTGACTGACTCCACTGAGAGTCAGGTAGCAACATTGACCTAAGATTCTAATATTAGAAAACCAGACTTCCCATGGACAGTGATGCCATATTTTAGAACAGTCTATAAAATGAGGGATGAAGGAAAGGCTGACAAATCAACCAAACAGGGTGAGTTCAGCCGCACATTTCTGCTGTGCAGAAGCTTGTGATGTCTTGTGGTTATGTAAATGCATGTCAATGGTGCTAAGGAGCTGAGAGAGAGAGAGAGGCAGTGATAATGACAGATGACAAGGACCTCATATGATCTTTGGGTAATATGTCCAACACCTAAGAATCTGCTGTTCGCTACAGTCACAGAACTAAAGAAAGGGCTAGAAGTTCTTAGAAATATCCACCATAGGATGGGAGACAGAAAAAACTAAACTCACCCCATCATAGGATTCAGCACTATTGCTCTGGGTTCATCTAGATTTTCTGAAATAAGGATTTTTCTGGATGTCCCATTCAATCGGGTTACTTCAATGCGGTCTGTTCCTGTGTCAGTCCAATATAGGTTCCTTGCCACCCAATCCACTGCTATGCCATCAGGATGATTAATTTCCGTGGTCACCAGGGTCTGTGCTCCTGATCCATCCAAGTAAGCCCGACGAATAGCCCGGACATCGTCATCAGTCCAGTATATGTAGCCCTCAACAGGATCATAGTCTATGGCAATTGCATGCCTGATATTGTCTATCTGCAGAATAATATCAGTAAAGTCTGGCATGTCCAAGGAGATTCTTCGCAAGTCTGTTCTTCTAGCGAGCAGTAAGACTTCCTCAGCACCTGTGAAAGAGCAGTAACACTGTAATTTTGCAACTATAGAATATTCCTTCACCTGTTACAAGCATTGATGAGAGAAAAAAATTGCTATACAGAAAGGAGCATAGATATCACAGCAATGTGAGCTGTACCTCAAATCTGGGGTGCCCAAATATTGCCCAGGTAGGGGCCACACATTAGCAACTTTCCAGTACCACTAACACTGGTTGTATACTACGTTAGGGCCGAGGGTGCTACATACTACACGGAAAATGACAGAAGGAACATAAGTACTGAGATTTCCTAATAAGTACAGGATTCTAATGCTTTTCTTTGCTCCAGATAGCTAAATGGGAGAGCAAGTCACAAGTACAGCAAGTACATCCTATTTGCCTGAATATTATACGAATCTTTACTGTGTGCACACAAGGGCATGCTCAGAATTTTGTTGCTGATGAGGAAGGTAACAAAGCAGCCACCCCGGAGACCGCACTTTTCCACTTTCCCACAGAACAGGTCAGGCAATGTATAGCAACAAGGCAAACTTCCCCACATGGCCCCAACAATTTGTCTTAATCCAAAGGGACAACTCTGAGGTGGGAAAACATCAACTTCATTCTAAATAACCAGTTCTTCTGGTTAATTTTCTGCTGCAGGTGCCAATTGTTGAGATGTTTTTCATGTCTTGACACCTGCCAAATGGACACTGGCCTGCAACCATCAATTCCAATTCATACAGGGCACTGAAAAAACAATAGATGGCAACCTTCAATCACTATCAGCCTTCATTGTATTTAAAATGGCAATCCTAGAAGTGAATCCCCTGATCCATCCCCAGTAGGACCGAGAGTCTTGTCAGACCCATGGACAAGGGAGAGTGTGCGGCACTCCCAGAAGGGGCGGAGCTTCTGATGGAAGGGGCGGGGCTGCAGTAGCCAGCTTTCAGTGTTGCCCAGAGCTTGCCATGCTGTGTCCCCTCCCTTCCAGCCAGCCCTTAATTCTGTCCAGAGTGCACAGCACAGGGCTTTGGCAGTAATGTAAAACTCCGGGCCCTTTTGAATCATGGGGCCCAGGGGCAACTATCACCTTTGTCTCTACCCATCCCTGTCATCAGGCCTGGCCATGCCAGTCCCTTTCGGACAACGGTACTTCAAATCCTATTCCATACAGACTCTTGTAACATGCTTCTTGAGTGCAAAACTTTACAGCTCTTATCAAAGACAGTTTTGCCCTGACATGTGAAACCAGCACATAAGAGACCTGTAATCTATTTAAAAGGTATCTGTCACATGTCCAACCAAATGCACCACCAACTAAGGGGACTAGCTGCACTATCACTTGCTTTAGAGATTGGTAATAACAATCTGGTACCCGGATGCCCTAGCCAGGAAGGGATAAAAGCACAATGAAGTGGGGGGAAACCATAAGGTCAATTGTAGAGAGCCTCTGCTACTCAACACAAGAGACTTTTGCCATCAGCTTTCCTGAAAACTGAGATTTTCCTGGCTCCAAAGGCTACCAAGCAGAGTATAGATATTTAATTGTAACACATGGTTGAATTCAGGCTTCTCAAATTTTAAGCTTGTGGTAGCTTATTAGGATACATTAAAAGGGGCTATCTTTGGCTAGAACAGGGAAACAACAGCCTTAGGTGACATGTCACCTTAAGAAACCACTTCCCCCCCTCCCCGAACATGGTTTTTAAACTTCCCTACTCTAAAGAAACAATACATTCTTGTGATGATTAAAAGCAACTGCTGATGCTGGACCCAGTATTGGTTCTTAAATACTTTACCAATCTCCTGGAAAGAGATATCCTTTCCTAAAATAAACACTGAAATATCCTAAAGGTTATTTGATATTCTAAATGTTGCTTGACATAGTGGGCCATTTGAAACATCTGCAGAAAAAATAAATCACCAAACTTGTAAAAATACAGACCAGCAACTGCTGGAAGTCAAAAGTGCTTGCCTGTCTAGGCATCTCACATAATTGTCTCTCTTAGCCAGTGTTATACATAGAGATGAGTTACCTTACAACTGTTAACTCCATATGAAGGAAATGAACATTCAGAAAAGGTGCCACATATTTTATGCAAAGCGCATCCAGATTTTCAGTATAGTTTAAAAAAACCCCCTGCTATTTTGACATCCTTGTGGCTCCTGACAGAACCGGGACGGAACCCAGAACTGCTCAGGTCAGCCACTCTCACGGCATGCTCATGGCCCGTGCGGTTCTGCTCATGGCCCCCAGTGCACTGTGTCATACCCTGTGCATGCAGGCTGGGTCGCACGCAGCGTCCCAGCCTGCACGTGCTAGCTGCCAGCTGCTGAGCACAGGCAGCAGCAGCAGCTCTGGGTGCGGCAGCTCCGGGACCTGGGCATAAGGTTAGTGGGGGAGGGGGATTGGGTTAGAGCGGGGAGGGAAGGTGTCTGGCTCTGGGGAAGGGGAGGGAAGGAAGGGAGGTTGGGGGTGCAAATGGCATACTGGCCACTCAGTGCACGCGCCCCAGCACCTAAAGGAAGATGTGTGTGGCTGTAGTGGCGGCTTTGCCTCTGGGACCCGAGAATTAGGTTAGAGCGGGAGAGGGGGAAAGGAGGATTGGTATAGAAGTGGGCTGGTGCATGGCCCTGGGGAGGGATTGGGTTGGGGGGGGGCCTGTGCCTGACTCTGAGGGAAGGGGAGGGGGAGGGGGGGGCAGCTCTGGGGAAGGGGAGGGGAATTGGGTTGGAGCAGAGGGGCTGCCTGGAGGAGGGGAGGGGAAGAGCAGCCAGTGCGCTTCCTGAGACCCGGGATCCCGAGGTACTGGCCCCAGTAGTCTGTTTTCTCCTCCTAGCCAGACCCCTACGAATACCCTGCCCCAGCATCCTGCCCCCAACAGCACAGTTGGGGCCACATTAGTGAGGCTTGGGGGGGTTGGAGGGTTTGTTTTTTGTATCTCACTTGTGTGACCCAGTGACCCCTGACTCAAAACAGATTCCTTGCCCCATTCATAAATAAAGACAAAGCTGAAACATTTTGCGTTTGACACAATATTTTATTTAAAAATGAATCCTGGCCAACAAGCCCTCATCTGGCCACAGCATCATAACAGTCCTGCACCTCCACTCCCCTGACCCTAAACCTGAGCCTATCATACACTGGAACCCCCTGTCCTGAGCCTCTCACATCCCCAAACTCCTGCACCCCCACATCCCCAGTCTTCTGCCACAACACTCCTGCACCTCCACACACTGCAAATCTGTGTCCTGAGTCCATCATACTCCCAGCCTCCCTGCCCTGAGCCCCTCATGCACCCCAGCCCAAACTCCTCTACCCTCACAGCTACAAGCCTGCGACTTGTTCAGCATCCCAACCCTCCACCTGACCCCAACACTCTCCAGACTGGAGGCCCCTCCCTGAGCCAGCATCCTCTTCTCTACTTCCTCCTGCACCCAAATTCCCTCCCAGAGCTTGCATCTCTCACCCCTTCCCAGTGCTGTTTTTGTGAGCCACAATAGCAGTGGAGACAGCATGACAAGACAAGACAAAAGAAAAAAAAAGGGGGGGGGGGGGGGGCACGCAAAGACCCAGGGAAAAGTTATTAACCAAAAAACAAACAAGCAAAAAAGCTATGCCCTGGGGGGGGGGGGGGAGGGGCACGCAAAGACCCAGGGAAAAGTTATTAACCAAAAAACAAACAAGCAAAAAAGCTATGCCCTGAGATGGATGTACCAGCACCTATTTTCCACCAGTGTGGCATAGTTATTTATTTATTGGCTCAACAACTTTGCCTCGGTTCCTCACGCTGTCTCCACTGCTATTGTGGCTCTTCGTCTGGAACAGGTTGGCCACCCCTGGTTTGGATGGTGACCTGGCAGAGGGAATTGGAGTGTGGAAGGGGCAGAGGTGCTAGAGGCAGGCTCTAGCTGGGAGGCACTTACCTAAGCATATCTCGACCAACAGCATGCCCAAGGCAGGCTGTGCGCCCTGCCTGTTGCACCCTCACAGAGAGCCACACGGACTGTGCTTTAAACTGTGGCAGATGCACACCTGAGGGTCCTGTCAAGGCGGACCGTGGGCCAGATCCAGTGGCTTTGTCGGCCAGATCCAGCCCTGAGGCTGTATTTTTCCCAGCCCTGATTTAAAGGATAAGTTACAAACCACAGTCTGTAGTTCTGTAATTTCACATGTGAGTTCTTTCAGGACTCTTGTGTGAATGCCATCTGGCCCCGGTGACTTGTTACTGTTTAGTTTATCAATTTATTCCAAAACTTCCTCTAATGGCACCTGAATCTGGGACAGTTCCTCAGATTTGCCACTTAAAAATAATAGCTCGGGTTTGGGAATCTCCCTCACTTCCTCAGCCAGGAAGACTGATGCAAGGAATTCATTTAGTTTCTCTTCAGTGTCCTTGAGTGCGCCTTTAGCATCTTGCTCGTCTAGTGGCCCCACTGGTTGTTTAACAGACTTCCTGCTTCTGATGTACTTAAACATTTTTTTGCTTTTACTTTTTGAGTTTTTGACTTGCTGTACTTCAAATTTCTTTTTGGCCTTCCTAATTATATTTTTACACTTCATTTGCCAGAGTTCATGTTCCTCCATGCACAGCTCTCCCTGCAAAGTCAGTGCAAAGCAGGATCCAGCCTGGTGGCCCTGGGGCCAGGCTGGGGGAATGTGAGGCATTTGGGAGGGGCTCCAGCAGCAGAGCCCCCTAATCCCCATTAATCCTGAACATGGAGAGAGCCCTGGGATTAGCTGGGCAAGCCTCAGATTCCTGCATTCCAACAGGCAGGGCCTTGGATCAGCATGACAGCTCACACAGCACTCTCCCCACCCCT